AATGCAATCCATTCGTATTTAGTGATGGATTACCTTGCTAGCATTCCTTCTGTCCTACTTATTATGCTTATGTTTATCTTTTTTTTTTTTTTCTTTCTTAAAGCCTTTACTTTATGCTTATGTTTATCTTAACACTGTTGTTCCTTCTTTTCCTTTTCCTAGTTTTTGCTGATTTGTTTCTACTTAATATTTTTAGGGTTTCTCCCTGAAAGTTTGGTTTTCTCTAGATTGATATTTTTCTGCTGCTTTTTGGGTATATTTAGGCATTTAGTTTCGAGTGCTCTCCCCCACCCCCAACCAGGCACACTCAACACTGATGCTGACGCATGTCACCAGCTCAAGCCCAGCAGAATGTTCTGGAGATGACAGCTCAGTGCTGTCATTGAGCACTTGTAGGACGGCAGGCAAATTACCTATCCCTCCTGAACATTAAAATGTAGCAGTCACACAACACGTGTAGGACTAACCAGGTCACGTGTGGGCCTCATCTAGCGTACCGTTGACGCCCCCATTCCCTGCTCTCTCCTTGGGCTTCTGGGACGGAGCTGCGCAATCAGGATGAGGATGAAGATGAACTTTTTCATGTCTCTGGCCCGCTCCTCTCAGAATTCCTAAGAGGAATTTCTCAGCCGAGCTCTCATTGGTCTTTCATTTCTGTGGGACGGCAGAGGTTATACTCTTCTGTCCTCAAGATTAACAAGACATTGGAGAGTGCTGATGTTTTGCCTGTGGACCTAAGAGATGGGCCTAGAAACAAATTCTCCTGTCTCCAGCCTTGGATTGAAAGGGACACCTTCTGGGCTTCTCTTCTTGGACCTTTGTGTAGCAGAAATGTCCCTAAGATAAAGCTGGAATAAGCCCGAGACAGGACACTGGAGGAGGGGCCCAAGGTGGCCATGCCCTGGGGACTAGGGCTCCACCTAACGCTCTGAGGAAGCAGTCACAGGAAGCTTCATCCCTTATAAACCCATAGGCCTGGCTCTTCCTCTCCAAAGCTTAAAATCCATGGAATCCCTCTGGTTCAGACCATGTCCTGACTGCTACCACCAAGTCTTGGAGCTTGCCCCAATGAACTGGGTCTCAATTCTTTTCTTTTCTCTCAATGATTTGACAGATAGAAGGCGGAAGTGTCACAGATGATCTACTTCTTTCTACACCTTTAATTTTGTGATCCCACAAAATTTCTCTTCATTAAGCAAGACTTTGAACTTGAGGGCCAAGGCTGGGCTTCCTAACACCCTTTCAGACTCCTACTCAAGGGTCATGGAATTGGTTCTATGTCTTCTCCTGCAGGCTGCTGGTAACAGAGGCCAGCAACCTGGAGAGCCACTTAGCTCCTTCGACACACATCTACCATCTGGGTCCCATGATCTCACGGGACCTTTGGTGTTTGCTCCCTCCCCACCCAAGGGCTCTGAGGTGTTCTGCAGCCTGTTCTTCCATGGCAATGCTCTCTTGTCACTTCATAAAAATGTTCTACCAGCTACCTGGGGACAGCAGGAGGGCTTCTCCACCGGAGGTGCTGGGAGGCAGGTGCCAAGAGGTGAGGGGAGGCAGGTGTGATTGGTGACACCACTGCCCCCCACAACCAAGCAACTGCGACCCCGCAGCCCAGCCCTCCTCCGCAAGTGAACGAACACCGAACAACTCTGTTCAAAACAGTTTATTGTATTTTATTTTTTTTTTGTCAGACAAACACATTGATTTCTGGACCACAGTAGAGGATGGAAACCTTTCACAAACTTATTTATTTGAAAATACAAATATAAAATTATACTTTCCACATCTGTGATGTGAGAGACTGCCATCCACATAGTAATTTTTTACAACAGGGCTTTAAGAAAGCCACACACAAAGACCTGAAAGATGCTTGAGATATATATATATATAGATACATATATATGTATATATATAAAAAAAATACTCACTACCAAAGTTGTCATCAGTTTCATACTAAAGTATAAAAGTAAGGGTGAGGTCAGCCACAGTGCTAGGGAAAGTTTTATTTAGATACATTTATGTCCACATGAAACGCTTAGACTTGCATCCTATTACATATGGAATTCCGAGTTTACAACACACCATGAACGGCAGACTGGCTAGCCCACGCTACTCAAGAGGACACTCACAGATTCCACACAGGATGGTACAGTATGTACAGAATACAGTAGCAGAGAGCCTTCCAGGGAGGCTCTGGAACTTCTGTCCCTCAGACACCCTCCCCCCCTCCCCGCCCCTTCGTGCCCCTGCCTCCCGGAAGTGAAATCCTGTCTGAGACAATACATTCTGATTATTTGATAGCCAAGTGTTTGAATTAAGGTTGCTTCCCCAGAGGTGTGGGTTTTATGTATATATATATTTTTGTTTTAGTTTACTTACGTTTTTTGGTTAAAAAAGAAAGAAAGAAAACCAACATATTACAGTATTAAAGTATTGCTTAACGTACAGCATCTCCTTGTGTAGTGTCTGTGCCCAGGACCGGGCTGAGCTGATTCTGCTGCTTTTCTGCTTAGGGGGAGGGCAGAGGGGCCCACCAGTGTCTCTCTTCAGTGTGCTCGCCAGCCTCCATCCCTCAGCTCGCACGCCTCCACCCCCCCCCCTTTTGTCTTCCTTGGAAGGTAGCCCAGCTGGTGAAGCACATTCAAGAGAGAAAATTCTCCCCCGCACCCCCTGCTCCCACAGTCTCCCTCTGTCCCTGCGTGCCACTCCCAACCGATAAAGAGAAGTATGAGTTAGTGTTTCTTTTGTAAACAATTTCATATGCAATATAATACAGAAAGCATGGCTGACCTTCAATAAAAAATGTAGTAAACTATATTGCTTTATTCTTGATTATGCTGCAGTGAGCGAATGGCAGGATGAAGCAGTGTGGTGTGGTGGTGGCTAAGTCCCTAGCCCTCGTTTGCACTAAAGATCAAAATAGGTTTTGTTTTTCTATTTGGAACCGAGAAAAAAAAAAAAAAAATTTTTTTTTCAAAATCCCCAAATGAAAAAAGAACCCCCCCTCAAAAAAACCCCCCAAACAAAAACAAAAACAAAACAAAACAAAAAAACTGAAAACAAAAACTGAACACCTTTCAGGTCGTTAGGACCAACAATTACCCGATGATTTTGAGACTAGTCTAGCAAGATGTGTGTAACATTCACTGGCTGTGAACTGCTGTGCAGTGAAACCGGAAATGGACACAATAGAGCCATGCTACCTTAAAGTCCAAGCTACAAGTTCAAATTAGGATGAAGGTTATGAAGGAGAGAAACGCAAAAAGGCCTGTCGGGGCTTCGTTTGAGTCAAGCCAATGAGCGAATGGGATAGAACACGAGGCTGTTTGGTTTTCCCAGTGGGTGTGAGGAAGGCCACAAACCAGGGCTGAGAAAGCTCCTGGGGAGGGGACCAAAGGCTTGGCTGTCCCCGTCAGCTCCATGTCCGGGTAGAACCAGGAATGGGGTCTGGGAGCTAATGCCACTCACTTCCCTCTGCTTGGGAGGAGAGGAGGTCGGGGGTCCCAGGCAGATGGATCTGGAAGCCAGAAAGTCACCCGGTGGCTATTTTGTGATTCCGCGGGTGGGGGGGGGAAGCCATCAGCCAAGAGGGTTTCTCCCCCAAAGGCGAAAAGGTGGTTCCCAGGTTCGCCACTGAGCTTAACTGAAACAAAGACAAGGCTGAACATCAGTGCTAAAATAATTTATGAAAATCTTTCAAAATGGACTTCTAGATGAGTGGGGGGACTAACGTGAACCTTAACCTAGGTAGCCACATTAAAACAGATCAGATTTCCACGAGATTTGTGCTATGGGCTACTGGGTCTCTTCAAAAGGTATTATAAACATCTAAAACATATTCACACAGATTATCAATTTCTTCTGAGCATTCTTAAAAAAATATTTTTTCTCTTAGTAAAATCATTTTAATATACCATGCCTCCCTCTTTTAAAAAATAAATTAAAAAAATCCAGTTTTGCATATCTAGCATTAGCATTTAAGGTAGTATGGCACACCCCTTCACAGTTTGGGGGGGGGGTTGGGAATCTACAAAACGCCATAGAGTCTGCCGGCATTTGAACATCATGAGACCTTGGGTTAGTTGAAACCACATCAGATCAGCAAAAATAAAATAAAAAGTTGAAATTGAAAAAAAAAAAACCAAAGGAAAAAACTGCCCCAAAATTATTAGCAATTTTTTTTTTCATAAATAAGAGAAAGTTCTATCCTTACTGGTCCTAAATCTGAATAACTATGTCTAATTTTTTTTTAAACCTTAAGTACGTTATACCTATCAATATGTACTAGAAGAAAGAGAAGAAAAAAAGTCGCTACACTAGTACGAGGACAGCACGCTTACAAGATAGCCATTTTATACATTATTAACAGACAGTGATCAACGAAGAGTCTTCTGTGAGGTGATGGGGGATGCAGAGAAAGGAAGGGTACTACAGTACATCACCAACATGGACAAAAGAGTAATTAAATTCCCTAATCTAGACACTGAATTTCTGGGAATTTATGGTCTTTTTTCTTTTTTTCAAAAAACTTCTGTTTTGTTATTTTATCACTTGAACAAGTTTTGATATTTTAAAAGCGCCCAGCATTTTACTTAACTTGGTTGTTTGGAAATAAAAGAAAGAAAGAAAAAAACAAAACAAAACAAAACAAAAACCCCTCACCAAACAACCTAACATTGATCGGAAAAACAAGATTTTTTTTTTTTTTTTAATGTTGTTGCTGTTTAATTAGAATTGAAAAAGGCTTTTTTTCTTTCTTTCTGAGTTAGCATTTTGGAGCCTTTTGTTTGAAGATGCTTTTGCCCTACCATGTCTGTGAATGTCTACATTAGTCTACTTTGTTAGTAAAATTTATAAAAATAGGAGTGCAGCAGCTCTTTATAATAAATGTCGCATTCAGTGTCTCATACTGGCTGTGCCTTGAGTACCAAATTTATAAACGTAACAATTTAAAAAATATTAATAAAACGTCAATATCACATTTTAAAAAAGAAAAAATATATATCCACACTACAATATGTTTTAATGCCATCTATTGAGTTGTACTTCTATAGTTGCTGTTGCCGACCTATTACCAATATTAAAAAAAAGTTAAATTAAAAAATATCCTTCATCATAAGTATCTTTCCCCAACTGAGGACCATATATTATAACAGCCAAATGTTAAACATGTGCAAACAGGAAACTGTCAGTTTTTCCCACCAGTCACAGTGCAGCGATGTTTATACTTTTTTTATTTTTAAAATTCTGTTTACATCTACAATAAATTAAAAAAAAAAATTCTTCCATAGCCTCTCTGGTGATACTTGCAGCACTGAGGTATTAAAAAAAATATATAAACCAAAAGGTTGCTCTCCTAATTTGTAAATAGGAAGTGAATGGAGAAAAGTTTTCATTAATGCAGGCTTCTCCGCCCCTGGCCGGAGCTGGGGGGAGCCGGTGGGGGAGCAGGGGAGCAAAGAGAGGCAGAGTGTCCTAGGGACCTTTGGAGGTGCTGAAATGGTTGGACAATAGAAAATGATCAAATATTCAAAAATTAAGACTGAAAAAGAATGTCCCCCCACCCCCTCCCCACCCAAGCCAAACAGGTGTGCTTTGAAACTTTAAATATGTTAAATATTAAAATCGTAGCTTTGTTTTTAAAAAACGTCTTGGGAAAAGCAGTTTTTCATATTTTAAATAAAAATCTAACTAGACGGTAACATTTGAAGCTGTGCACAGACGAGAGGTTAATATGCTGGTATGACGCTAATACAGTTCTTAGGTCTATCACACAGACAGAAGGAGCTAAACAGTGTTCTAACTTTTCCCGGGGGGTCGTCCTGGCAGCGGGGGCGGGGGGGGGTGTCCTTCCGCCTGGGAACCGACTTGGTTATCATGCCTTCCCCTCCTCCTCCTTCCACAGAGCATCGAACTGCCTGGGACCGACTCCCTCACAAAAATATTTTTGATTCTCTCTTTCTTAATAGTTTCTATGTAGTTAATGGAATTGTATTTACAACGCTTCTTTTTTTTTTAGAATTCACAATTTCAAAAAACCTTATAATATCACCTCTTTCAACAGAAAAAAAGCACTTATAGAAAAGGAGGACACTCAAAACATGGTCGTCCTTACCTTATTGCCGAAAATAGATATACTTAGATTAACAAAGAGACGTCACAAAAAAGAACCGCTATAGAGTCTGTTAATTAGCTTACTACATCTCACTTATACGACGCAAAGGAGAAAGTTTATGCCCACCTCCCGCTCCACACTTCACAACTTTGCTTCCACAGACGCACAATGTGCTCCACTGGAAAAGCCATACAGTCTCAGAATTGGTACCAAAATATTGAGGAATATTACCATCTCAGCATCCTTTAAAAGTGAGAACAGAATCAAAACAAGCAAAAAAAAAATCTTTTTAAGAGAAAAATAATACCTTAATATAACAATTATACTATGGTTAGCTTTTAACTAGATATTAAAGCTATATGACTACCGGACTAAGTCAAAATCACTACCAAATGTGATTCAAAGAGATTTAAAAGGAGAAGGGGGGGAAGAGAGAAGAGGAAGGGAAACCATCAAGAAAAACAAAACAAAACCAAACCAAAAATCATGGGTTATATACACATTTAAAAGCTGTTGTCTTATATTACAGCAGATTCGTGAGATGATGAGATGTAGTCAACCCTCGATCCGAAGTGAGCCATCTCTGGTTGGGATGGGGAGTGAGGCTGGTGGGGGTCCAGGTCTGATGACATCACCTAAACAAAGGGCCACTCAGAAACTTCGCCCAGTCTTGCCTGGACATCCAGGTATGCTCTGCAGGGCGCGGAAGGTCACGGATGCCCAGAGGAGAACATAAAGTGGGAAGTGGGAGAAGAGAGAAGATGTGTCAGGCAAACATACTATTTATTCCAACTTCTCAACTAGCGCTTCCACAGAACGACTACATTGGGCTACTGAGTACGTCTGGAAATGGCCAGGCTAACAGCTTACTGGGATCACGGCTTGGGAAATCTGACATCTTCACCACGCCTGACACCGGGGAGCGGACAGCTCTGCGACTCACTGTGCTCGTTTGCTATTTTGCTGATTTGATACGGCACTGGTGAATTCTTTGGGGGGGGGGGGCGAGGGAGTGGCAGGAAATGTGGTCAGCAAATGTGGCCATGCTGGGTGTTTGACTACACTGGGTGAATTGCAAACTGATGAGAGATGCTTTTTGTTCTGGTTAAACTTCGGGTTTTCAAAGCCAAATGTTTAAAAAACTACTTTATCAGATACCGTCAATGACTGCCAATAACTGAAAATGCAGATTTAAAAAAATCTAAAAAAAATTATATTTCGTATCGAGGACTCGAGGTCAGGAAAAACATATGCAACAAATAACCAGCTTTGGTTATAGAAAATAAAAACAGGCCCGCGACTCACAGACTTGCTGAGTCTCCCTGAGTCCACCGTGAGCCTGGGCACTTCCTCTGTGGAGGGGACTACAGAGAACGAAACCTCGGTCATGGACAAAGTGTGTGTTTCGGTTCGAACATGTGACTCAATTGGTTCACTTCATCCATTTTGGAGGAGGGTGGTGGGGTGTTACCGCCAGTCTCTTGGCTACGTTATCCTTCTGTGGGAACCGGGTCCTAGAGTTGGATGAGGAGGATGGGCTGGATGCCTTGCCCTCCCCTGGCTCCTATAGCGGCCATGGAGGGGAGGGCGGGCTGTGGTGGGAAGCCCTACCCCATCCTCATTTCCAGGGGAGGGAGAGTGCAAGGACAGCCGGGCAGCCGCAGTGTCTGACCTTGCAGGGGTCTGCTGTGCCTGGTAGCTGTCCCATCCCCTCATCATCTGACTCCACAAAGGGCTGGAGCCACCTCCAATCCCCAGAGTTCTTGGGGAGTTCAGTCCACTTTGCTCTCAGAGGAACCTTACTTCCCCTGGGCCCCCAAACCCAGCTTAATTAGTAGTGAGTAGCTCTCTTCAAACTGTTAGTGGCCTCTGGCTCTGGCCAGCAATGGCTGGGTCAGTGCTCGAAGGGAAGTGGAGGTGAGGGGTGGGGAGAATTCACACACGGGGTTTATTTGGTTAAGAGAGGCGGTTGCATTAGTTGAGGTGATTCCTTAGCAGCAACATTAGAGAAATCCAAAAGAGATTTATGGAGCTCAACTCAATCTGGTCCCCCAACTGGGCCCACCCGAGAGAATCCTGGCTGACTTGGGGGCCTAGAGTGACCCCCTCTATGAGACAGGGGTCCTACTAACTGCAAACCAAAGTGGCAAGTCCATCTCCAGCCTTGCTTCTCCTACATCCGAACTCCCAGAGGGAAAGGCGCTCCTGCCCCAGCAGGGACCCAGGCCCGGCCTCAGCTGTCACCCTCCCTCTTGACAGACCCATGTCTCAAGCCCCCAAACTAACGTGCTAACACAGTACGCACTTAGCTTTCACGAGAGAACCCCTCTTCCTTCTCGGGGTTCCTCCCGAGAGCAACAGATACTCATTTTCCAATGAGACCGTGGCAAGAGGCTCCTTCACTGACTGCCCCAACCCCCCCTTCTCCTCCACTCCACCCCTTCCATACCCCCATCAAAGTGATTTAAAAAAATATTTAATTAACTTGAGCTCAGTTTAAAAGGTTAGGAAACTGGCAGGGATCCAAATCCACGTTATGCAGGTGATGTCGTTAATTTAATTTGCTTTTCGTGCGGTAATCTGGATAATTACTCAGTAGTTACTGGCAAAAATGTTTTCTTTTCACTAAAAGATGGAGTCTGGCTGTTTGACTGCATGAACCCCACTGGCCAAAGCCAGCGAGCGCTGGGGGGCCGAAAGGGTCCAGGGACCTGAAAGGCCATCTCGTGGGACCCTGGAGGGGTTGGCCCTGGCCCCCACCCCCAGGCTTGGCCGAAGCCCAGGCTTCTCCTGCCTCCATCCCCCTGGGACAGGCAACAGCACCAGATCACCTTCCAGTTTCCTACACTCTTGATTGTATTTCAAGACAGAGAGAGATGAGGGGGTGGGGAAGAAGATAAAGAAAGGGAATCAAAAGAATCAAATCAAGAAGAATTAAAAAAAAAAAAGATGGGGGTCATGATTACAGCTGGAGAGAAGGATGAGAGAGTACAAGACCGGATTTTTTGCCCCCACCCTCCTGCCAAGGGGTCGGGGAAGAGGAGAGAGAGGTGTTGGCGCGATGGGGCCAGGGCCCGTGCGTACTTGCATGCCAGGGCACACACACGTACGACGCGCCCGGCAGGGCGGGGACACAGGGCAGAGAAGGTAGTACCTCAGAGTGGGGTGGCAACAGAAGCACCTGCTCAATGGTATCCATTTGTAAAGGCCGTTGCAATCAAAGGTCCCTAAAATTGCACAATTGTTAAGGTCATCAGCACGCTATACACGGGAACAGCCTGTCATATTCTGGGAAAGGAAATTATCTCTAGAACTAGACCGTGGTTGCCAGCATGAATATGTAATTCTGAGACACTGCGCCACGAGGGGCCCGGACGCCGTCCTCCCTGGCTCCGGGCCCTCCAGCCCCCACGCCCCGCCCCAAGCCCGTCTGCTTGCCCAGGGGGTAATCGAGAGCCAGATGCACCAGGGAGGTGTGTGGCTGAGGGGAAAGGGAGGCCTCGGCCCAAAATGCTGGGCGCTGCTGCCCTGGACCCCGGAGGGCAAAGATACCCGTGTCTCTGCCCGCAGTCCCGACAGCTCCAGCTGGGGAGAAAGCAAGCCCAGCGCAGACAAAACGTGATGCCACGCGTGGTCATTTCAGAAAAGCACCACGACCCACAGGTCAAGAGACCCAGGTTTTCAAGAACGAATAGGGTCTGTGTTTCCGGGCGCTGCAAATGGAAATGATCTGTGCTCTAGGTGGTGATAGATGGTCTCCCAAATCGATGCAGCTCTAAACTGAATAATAATACTCTGGATCTGGTACTACAGCTCAGCCGAGTGGATGTGACTCATCAGACTCCTGACTTAAGTGTTACTGGTCTGGGAGTGGAATTGCACAAGGACCCAGACTGCATGGGCCAGGGGTGGCGGCAACGCACACGTGCGTGTGCGCGCACGCGTGTGTAAGACAGTCTGTGAGAGAAAGAGTGCTCGTGCGTGGGTTAAGAGTGTGTGTGTGCACCCCTGCATGCGTGCGTGCGTGCACCCCTGTGTGTGTGCTTGTGCTTTCCAATGCTGGGGTGGGGGGGTGCAGGGAGCGGCGCCCTGGTGCCCCAGACTTGTCCGCACTTGCCCTGTTCTCCCCAGCTCAGCCCCTGAGGCGGGGTTCTCCTGACAGGGACAGGGCCTGGAACAGCAGACACTCCCATCTTAGCCCCCAAACCAAACCGCCTCCAAAATGCTGAGGTTGGCTAGAACGGAGGGTGGCCGAATTTCTGTTTCCCAAATGGAAGGGACAGCGAGCGAGTGGGCTCAGGCACATTCATGCTCACACACACGAGGAGGGGGAAGAACAATACAATCTGAAAACAGCATGCAAATCTGTTAAGCAAATTTCCACTGCCTGGATTAGTTAGATTATAGAACCACAGAGCATTACAAATATCAAATGCATCTGGCCTTTGCGGGGTTGCGGCTAAAGAACGCAAATGGGAACTTACTTGGAACCTGGAAACTCTAAGAAACATTAGCAAAGGAAACCACCTGGGAGGGAGCGTGCACCCCACACCGTGTCCCAGGGCCAAGTGCTGCCTCTGGACCTCAGGCCCAGGGCCTCGACCGACCAAGGTTGCTATCCTGAGGAGGGGGTGGGGGGCCCCCCAGCTCCTCAAGTCGCAGCCCACATGGCTGTCTCCAGGAGGCAGGGATCAAGCAGGGGGGCCGATACCGAGGGCCTGTTATGGGCTAGCAGGTGACGTATCCTGTTTCCATTAATTCTCAGACCATCTTTCGAGGGAGGCACGCTTATTGTCGTTTTGCAGCCAGGGAAGGGAAGTTCTGATGGGTTATGTAAGAGGCTTAAGGCTGCATGGGCTGAAGGTGATGGAGTGGGGATCTGAACTTGACCTGCCCATGCTCCTTCCACTCCATCACACGGCCACACACCGGTTGCTCAGGAAAAATCGAAACAGGAGCTTCAGCCCTAGGTGGCTGACGGAATGTGGATGGGGGAGTGGGGACCCACTGTCCTCTCCTCGGCCCCCAACCCTGGGGTCTTCTGGCATACTCTCCCATGGGAGACAGGCGGGAAAGGATGAGGCGGGGGGCGGGGGGTAGGTACTTACAGCTATGCCGTGGCCGAAGCCTGAGCCCGGCTGTGGGCTGGCCGCACTTATGTAATTCCCCACTCCGGAGTCCTGGCTGGCAGGGCCGTACAGATCGGCGACAGGTCCTGGGCTGTTGGCCCCCGGGAAGCCTCCGGGCCGCGCGGGGTTGGAGCCTGCCGGGGAAGCGGGCGCGCCAAAATTCGGTTGAGCACTGTAGCTATTCAGGACTGGTGTGCAGAGAATAGAGCTGGGTATGAGGCCAGAAGCCAGGCATGCACCGGTCATTACAAGCCAAACACTCGAGAAAAACAGCTGAGGCCCAACTTCTAACACTCAACCAAGGCCATGCGAAAACATCAGCAGGGACTCAAGAATACTCAGCCCAGGCTACGACTAAGAAGCTCGGAGCTCCGAAAATAGAATAAAAAAACAATCATTCAACACACTACAGCAACCAACCGGAGGTGCTTTACTGCCCACCAAATTATCACAAGAGAAATAGAGATATATGTGGAAGAGAGAGAGGAAAAGAGAGAGAGAGATTGGTTTTCACATCTGAATTGGTGCTCATGCAGTCTTGTCTAGATCTGGGCACGTTGAGACAGCATTCACATCCCATGCAAACTACAAAGGAACTAGTTTTAGACTACACATTGTGTTAATATTGATATTAAAACGTGACAGGAAACAAAGCAATTTGTGTCCAGGAAAAAAAAATCTTTTGGGGAAGGGATTTAAAGAAATTTTTTTTTTGTTTCGCTTTTTCTTGTTTGTTTGTTTTTGGATCCATTCAATGACAAATTTGTTTAAAAAAAAAAGACAAAAAAGATCTCCATTCTCCAGCCCCCCCAAAACCACTTCCCCCCTCCCCACTGGCTACGTCCTCCCCCCACCCCCATTTATATCCCTGTATGAAAGTCGTTACTACTGAACGTGGTCAGAGGATGGGATATGTCATGGAAAATTTGGGCATCTTAACGTAACCGTAATGATGGTGGCAAGGGGTCCCCTTCTGGGGTGGAGAGCAGGGGATGGAGGGAAGGGGTGGGGTAGGGATGGCGAATCTGGAGGCTGGGGCCGAAGCCGGGTGAATGCCAATGGTTCTACAGGACACCCACACACTCACCTCCTGCAGTAGAAGGAAAAGGGGGGTTTAAACTTTTTTTTCCTTTTGTTTAAAAAAAAAAAAGACAAAGAAGTATGAATGCAGAGGATACTGACTGAACCGATTTACAGCTAAAGCGTATCTGACCGAAATGCCTGCTTTCTGTTAGTCAATCTCATATAAACTCCAGACTGAGCAAAGAGCTAGGAATGCACCTGTGCTCTAGAGAGGAGACTTCACAGCCACAGATCCTGAGAGTGGTGGTGAGGAGGGGCAGCGGCAGGGAAACTGCCTGGGCCGCCATCTTTAGCCCTTGCACCCCCCCCCCCCGCCACAATTCCATCATTCCTTCTTCAGTGAGGGCCACGGCGGCAACCAGGTTAATTTTGTCTCATCTTTCATTTCCCCCTAGTAGCTTAAACTTTTTCTTTCCAAAACGGGGGAAAAATTTTTCTTTTTTTTTAAATTGCCAAAGTAAGTTCTCACTGATTTTGAAAGCTGAAGGTGAGTCTGGGGCCAGCCACTTCAGGGCTACGGCTGACCCATGTGGAAGAACCAGACAATCTGGACACCACATATTTCCACAACTTTGGCTCCAAGGGGCTGCTTCTCACTACAATCTTCTCCCACTGCTTCCCGTGGCATTTCCCTCCCTGCCTTGTGACCAGCTGCCTCCATCTGCAGCCCCACTCTTGGCCGCGGCCTGGCCCGAGGGACCTGGGCTTGAAGAGCCAGACTTGGATGGATTTTTACCTGTGTGTGCCTGGGATGGAAAGAGACTGACCACGCACCCAAGCCAGGCTGGCAGGAGACTGAGATGGGGACACGGAGATAGAAAGGAGCTCAAACCAAGTGGCATCTGGCCCGTGACTGAGCAGAGAAAAGGGAAACTGATACCTCCAGGTGCCCTCGGGGCAGGAGGCTTGAAGGTGAGGCCCCTTGGAAGCTGGAGCTGAGAAATGAGTCAACTGGCAGATGGAAAAAACAGGTTCAAGAGGAAAAAATCACAGAGGCTTAGAGCAAGTGAACGGCTGATTTGCGAATGCACTGGCCGACAAAGGGGGCAGGAATTTTGAATACAGAAGATTAAACTTGCAGATAACATTTGGCCTTTCTCACTCATGGAGGCAAATATCAAGCTGAGATATTCAAAGGCGGTATTATCTTGGTCTAACACTTTTTCTTTTTTTGCTCTGGGCTAGGGAGAATGGAGTGAGCTCAGACAGTGGACTCCTGGTTTACCCAGGCAGCCGACCCCTGCTATACAAAGTAACTAGCTGGTTCTGTTTCAGGGTAAAGAGAGGCTAGGGGAAGGGGCCCACAGTGGAAGATGGAAAGATTTTTTTGGCTTCTTGCTCCTCTGGCCAGATGAAGATGCAGGAAGACTGTGGGCAGGCCCACCTACCTAGGGGCTGGGGAGAAGGGAGGTCTTGGTCTTGGCTCCTTCCAGCAGGGAAAGCCACCCAGAGACTGATCCAGCTAGCAGAAGCAGCCTTGGAGAGAGGATGTAGCACGTCCATAGAAGGATGCTGTCCACAATTAGCCCCCTCCGTGTGCTTAGGAGCCAAGAGGGCCGGTGGTACCCGCCCATCCCAACTCCCTCTCCCGGTCCTGTGTGCCCAGGAGGCCTGAAGGGATTTCACAGTAAGCAGCCCCTCTCAGCCTACGTGCCCCTCCCTGCTCAGTCACTTGTCAGCAAATGATCCTGTGAAGAAGGCACCCGATTAGAATACAGCTCTGAAACCCCAAGTCCTGTATTGTTATAGACTCACTCCTCACAGTGCCTGATCCCTGCTCAAAGTCACCTTGCGGCTGTCCCCCAGCCAGGGGCGCAAGATCGGGCCGCGGGTCCCCGCCAGAGGGCGCAGTTGGCAGGCAGCAAGCACCTGGTTCCGGGCTGGGGGCTCCGGGCTGGGGGCACGGAGGAGGCCCGCCTCTGCGCCCTGCAGCCAACAACGCCCTCCTCGCCTCTCTGCAGGCGGAAGACCCAGGCTCCAGAAAGCAGGCTCAAGTCCCCGGACAGGCCAACCAGATACCCATGCATCATCAGCAAGCAAAAGGCTCGGACTGCTCGGCAAAGAGTAGGGAGCGCCACTTTGCATGCAAACTTGTCAGCAGCTGTTCCTTCTGTCTGGTGGGGGGTAAGGCATCAGGGACAAAATCGTCCTCTTCTTTTGGGAAGTTCGTACTGAACACCGGCTGGTTAGACAGGACGGGGAGCCATTTGAGGACCCTCTCTCTCCCTCTGCGCCGTGTGATCTGAGCAGAGGGAGACGCAGGCGGGCCGAGAAAGCAGCGGCTGAGTCCCGACCTGAGCGTGCATGCTGGGGCAGTCAGCCTTCAGGCAATGCTCAGTGAAGTGTCTTGGTGGAGGGTGCCTTTCCCTCCTTTGGAGGGGCTGGAAACAGTCCCCCAGGCCAGGATTGGGCAGGGAGAGGGGATGCAACATCACTCTCAACGGGCAAGCGTACCTTGTCTACTGCTCAGCTCTTGGGTGTGTGTGTGTGTGTGTGTGTGTGTGTGCGCGCGCGCACTGGAGGCAGGGACTCTCGGTATGTGTTGCTGAATAAACAGTGCTGAGATTTATGAATCGGGACATCATGACTCCCGTCCCAGGAGAGGACACGTCTTGCAAACACTTTGGCATTTCTGCTGCAGAAGCCGTGAACACTGAGTGGCCACCAGGCAGTTTGGGGGCTCGCTGTGGGGAGCAGGGCTATGTGTCCGCCAGCCACTCTGGGCAGCATCCCCGTCAGCGGTTTAATTCTGGGCAAGTTCCTCCTCGCCCCTCGCCCCCAGCCCCCAGTGTCCTCTGGGCTTTCCGGGTCCAGGCAGCCAGTATGCTCAGGGACGCAGATGTGGTGCAGAGAAAGGGAGCACTGGACTTGGAGTCAGAAGGCCTGAGTGGGACCCTGGCCCTGACCTTCCGGCTGTGGGCCTCGGGTAAGCCTCTCAGCCGCTGGGGTGCTCATCTGTATCACGTGAGCGCCATCTGCCTTAGCCTGCCTCTCGGTGGGCCACGTGAGAATGGGAGAGAGAAAGCACTTTGTAACTTGTCGAGCTGAAAACAAACATGCTTATTTTTAAGATAGCTGGGTAGGCAGAGCCCAGTAAGACAGGTACCATAGGAAGATTTAGGAAAATCTTATACAGGAAAATACAATTCACTGGCCATACAAATCAGGAAGGGATTTACTAAAGGATCCAATTCATCTGCCCGGTGCACTGAATCATGCTGGACCCGGATGAAGGACTCTGAGACATGGGGGGCAGGAAAGCAAGGGCGTGGAATCTCTCTGAGGCCAGCAAGAGGAAATGCACTTGACTTATAGTGGGAGGCATTTGAGTTGGATAAAAAGAGGAACTTCCTGACTATCCAGGGAATGAAACACCTTGATGGCTGAGCCAGGAAACCCCAGGGAATCTTATCCCAGAGACCCTAACAAAGGTTGGTCCTGCAGGCTTAAGTCCTTACTTGTAGGGGCTCAATCCACAGCTCACAGGTACCTCAGGGTGGTGCCTGCCTTCCTGCTGGCACACAGTCTGCCTGTGGCTCTGCCCAACTGTGGTCACAAGGGGCTGGGCTGAGAGTGGAATTAGTCACTGGGGGAGGGGAAGAACAGCCTTGAAAGTATGGAAGTGCCGATGTCCGTAGAATCCCTAAGTGATGCCAATGGACCTGACATAGAAAGCTAGAGCCCAGGACTATAAGGGGGGGGTGGGCACCTCTGGGAGTGTCTGGCTCCAAGACCTGAAAATTGGATTATTACTGATCCAGACAAAGGAATTGTTTACAAAATCCTTTCTAGTTGAGCTCAGCACACATATCTGGGACAAGCTGGGGCTCTGCCACGTCCCAGCATGAGTCCGTGGTCTTGGTCTGGTGGCTCTCACGTTTCACCAAAGTGCAGGGCCAGCCCTCAAGACAATTGCAGTCATCTGCCTTGTGAATTATCTGCTGCTGCCAGGTTTCATCTGGGGTGGGAGGCCCTGGTGGCCCCTGGCACATTTCCAGAGCATGTGCTGCTTAGGGCTCAGGCAATGGTGGGCCCGTCCCCACCCAGTCCAGCTCTGAAGGTAATGTGCTGCCAAAACAGAACTCACAACGCAGGGCATTTCAGGGCCAAAGAGAAGGGAGTCTGGGCTGACTGGTGTCAGGGCTCCCATTCCCAACCCCCAGCTCCCGAAAGAATGGAGGGAACAGAAGCCCCTGTCCTATTCTTTGAGGGCAGGGCTGTGTTCATTCATCACACTGGGTTTTAGGGTTGTTTGTTTTAAATAATGTAAAGAAACTGAAAAAGGAATGAGTAGAGGGGCTATGTTGATAGGCTGATGTCAGAGAAAAAGAGGTCAAGGTCATTGCCCCTCCAACTCTCCCCTCTACCTTCACCTTGTCCCTATCATGCTTCTAGCTGCCTTCATTAAAAACTCCATGGCAGGGGCGGTTGTGGTGGCTCAGTCGGACTCTTGATTTCAGCTCAGGTCATGATCTCAGGGTCATGAGATCCAGCCCTGTGCCCGGCTCTGCGCTCAGTGGGGCGTCTGCTTCTCTCCCTCTGCCCTCCCCCCGACTTGT